TACAAATGGCTAAGCCATTTTCTGAGTCATACAGGTCCTTTTTTTCATCAGACTCTGTGCCGCTTCAGTGTGAGTCAGTCTTTCCAAGCCCTGGGAACCCTGGGAAGTGGAGGCAAGTGGCCTTCACCCCAGGATTCCCCAGATGAAAAGAACCTTGGTATGATGTATTTCTCTGACAGTCTTCCAGGAGTGCTGAATGCCAAGTGGCCCTAGAAGAGGAAGTAGATGTTCCATGAAAGAGAAGTTGATCCTAGATTCAACTAGCCACAGAGGTCTCTGGTTTCCTCCTGCTGTTGTGGAAGTGAGCTGGAGTACTTTAGCCAAAGTGCATGCGAAGGTCTTCATTCGCATACATCTGAATGCATCCTTAAGAATAACTCACCAAAATAACACTATATATAAATGTGTGTGTACTTAAGGTATTTTTAAGAAGAAATCAACCCAAAAAATATACATGTAGACTAGGGAAAAAATAGAGAGAATGATCTAATTTTATGTAAGTGGAGAACTTTGGTGTTTATCATATTCAAAAGCAAACCACAGCTGAAAAGTCTTTATTTTGTTCTTGTATTTATTCTGTGTTCACCTGCACTATGGAAGTTGCTTCCCATCCTGTCTTGGCACACTTATTATTTGGAATTGGAGTTCCTTAGAGTACTCCAGTACGGAAAAGAAAGTCATAAACTAGGCTCGTTCAGGCCTATTATTTCAGAGAATCCCTTCTAGGAATACATCCAGCTCTATATAATGCAGACCCTGGATAGGCTGATGAATGCCTTAGTGGGTGCTTTTCTTAATGAGGTGATCACAGAAATCCACTCCCCAGCTCAAGAGTGATGTAAGCCATTGCCACCACCACGTCTGGATGCTCAGTCCATGCCACCCATACCACCAGCAGGGGACACTAAGCAGGTGTCAATTGCAATTTTAGGCCCAAGTTAGAATCTCAGCCTAACTTTGGTTCTTGGGGTTTCTGGCCAAAAATTTATCTAATTCTTGGAATGTTAGATAAGTGTTCAAAAACTAAGAATCATGGGATGTAGCCCGGAGTCTGGGGTGGGGTTGGCACTGACCCCTAGCTGCTTCCATTTTCTCTTGGCTCAGAGACAGTTCTGGTTCTGTCCAACCAGGTACTATTGCTCTGTCTCTCAAAGGCCAAACATTTGGTTCTATTTATTACAAGCGTGTGCCCCATTTGCTCCACCTGATTGTCACCATCTACTTCTCCAAGTTTCCTGGCTCTTTATTGAAGCTGAGGCACCAACAGAGAAAGGGTGTCCAAGCTGTCTTTCTCCCATCCTTCCCCAGAACTGCCTATATCGAGCCATCCCTGAGCTTAGTAATGACCTTTCTAGAAGTATGTGAGGCCCCTGAAGTTTCTGCAGCTGCCCCCCACCCTGCAGCTGCTTCCCACCCCTTTCCACCTTTGCTTTTGTTACAATACAGACACCTCAGTGCAAGCCACAAATCCGAGGTGTTTGATTCTCACCTGAGTTCTCACTGCTGCCACCCTGTGTTCATTTCCCACCAGGATTGCTTTATGTATTATCCAGCATCAGATCAGGGTTGCACATTTCCTGAATGCCAAGGATTCGTGAGGATTGGGGCAAAGGCCAGGAGCCATGCAGGAGCCATGGGCCCTGTCCATGTTCTGATGTCACCATCTCCTTTCTACTCAGCACCTGTCTCACTGTGATGGCTTATGAAGATAACCTCCTATGCTGTAGTGTTTTCTGTTGTGCTGAGAGCTGCGAGAGAGGAATGTGCAGTGATCACAGGCAGTAAATAGGGAAGAGCAAGAGCCTGGGGAGGCAAAACTTGGAGCAGAGGCAGCACTGGACAAGGCTCTGAAGAGAAGTGATATCTCTACTTAAACCTGTAGAGTAATTATGTCAGATGACAGATGACGGGGCTGACAGTGAATGCCCCGAGCAGAGCTTGAAGGAATGGAGGCTGCAGGTCATGAGGAGGTGGCAGGAGGGCCAAGAAGGGGACATACTGCCAGGCCACAGCATCGTTGTTAAGGAGTAGCAACAGCATTCCTTGGTGCCTGTCAGAAGTGAAAGAATGAGCTGAGTAAACTTTGAGAGAAACATAGGACACACTAATATACACTAGATCATTGTGACCACAAAAATGTCACCTACAGCAGCAGGCTAAGAGCGTGAGCCTCAGTCCTAGCAGAATTCCAGCACCTTGTCTGTATAGCTTTTTGTTTGTGAGATAAGATTTGATGACAAGATTGAAAGTTTCCATAGACTCAAGTTAGAATACAAAAGGTATAATGTGGGCTCTGGCCTTGAAGTGCTTATCATCAGGCCGGCATGATAACAAGTAGTAAATGAAACAACCAAAAAATATGACAAGGTTCTGATCAACAGTTGCAGGTGGTTTTTGTACAAGTGGATCATCTAGGTAAGTAAAGGGAAATGATGAAAGAATAATTCAGGGAAGGTTTAAGCCAACAGCTTGTCCTGGAGGGAAAGGAAAGCTGACCCAGTAATGAGCTGATTCCATGCTAACCAACAGAGGCTGGAATGTGGTTGGAGCTGCTTGTACTGAGGGAAAGTGGAGGAAGTTCAGATCCCAGGGCTGAGCTGGCGAAAGCTGAGGCTCATTGATTCCTGTGTCAAGTCATTCTATTTAGACTTCTCTTGCTGCCTACCAGATAGAGCTACCTAGTTTGCTGACTCCCATTGTCTTCCATTCCTTCTCCGTAACTTCATGGCTTGCCAATGTATTCCTTAAAAACCTGGCTTGGTCATGCCACATTGTTTGTTATTCTGTTTATATCTCCCACATTTCTCTGGTGTAATGCTTTGTGGTCAGAGTGAATCTTGTGATTGCCTGTGGGACTGGGCAAAAGGTACTTGGGGAACTTGTTCCCTTGGCCAGGGATCAAACCCACAGAGAAGATGCTGTTGACCAAGGACCAAGGATATCCTGATTCTTGATGCCCCAGTAACTCATTTATATTAACGTGTCATTTTCTCCGCACTATCACCTTAGTCCGTTCAGGCTGCTATAACAAAATGCCACCGATGGGGCAGCTTAATACCAATTACAAGTATTTACTTGTCACAGTTCGATAGGCAGCAAAGTCCAAGGTTAAGGTGGCAGAAGATTCAGTCTCTGTGCCATCCAGTTTCCTGGCTCATAGGTAGCATTCACTCACTGCACTCTCCATGGTGCCGGGAGTGCATTAGCACGCTGCTACCCTCCCCAAATCCTTTCCTTCCAACACCATCACTTTGGGGAATAGAATCTCAACCTCTGAACTTGTAAAAGTTACAAATAATGAGACCATAACATCTGTTTTCTTATTCGTAAATTGGGGATAATGACAACTGCATGTTGAAGTGTAAGAATTAGTGGAGTCTTAAGAGACTCTTCGCACATAATAGAAAATGTTGGGACCAGCATGGTGGTGTAGCACACTAATCGTCCACCTGCAATGCCCACTTCCCAAATGGACTCCTGTTCTAGCCGTGGCTGATCCATTTCTTTTTTTTTTTTTTTTAAAGATTTATTTTTATTATTTTTTCATTGGAAAGGCGGATATACAGAGAGGAGAGACAGAGAGGAAGATCTTCCGTCCGATGATTCACTCCCCAAGTGAGCGCAACGGGCCGATACTATGCCGATCCGAAGCCAGGAGCCTCTTCCGGGTCTCCCACGCGGGTGCAGGGTCCCAAAGCTTTGGGCTGTCCTCAACTGCTTTCCCGGGCCACAGGCAGGGAGCTGGAAGGGAAGCGGGGCTGCCGGGATTAGAACCGGCGCCCATATGGGATCCCGGGCGTGCTAGGCGAGGACTTAACCACTTGCGCCACCGCGCCGGGCCCGGCTGATCCATTTCTGATCCAGCTCCCTGCTTATGGTCTTGGAATGCAGCAGAGGATGGCTCAAGTCCTTGATCCCTTTCTCCCATTTGGGTGATCTGGAAAGAAGCTTCCAGCTTCCAGCTTTGGATCAGCTCAGCTTTAGCTTTGGGGAGTGAATCAGCAGCTAGAAGATCTCTCTCTCCCTGTAAAATGTACTTTTCAAATGAAGTTAATTAAATATTAAAAAAAATATTGAGACATGTTGCTAAAACAGGGATTCTTATTGGAGATTTGAAGGGGCAATTGTTTCACCAAGGACTCAAAGAGTGATGGACATTTATCTGCTGTGTTTAAAGCTTAGTCATCGGGCCCGGCGCGGTGGTGCAAGTGGTTAAAGGTCCTCGCCTTGCACGCCCGGGATCCCATATGGGCGCCGGTTCTAGTCCTGGCAGCCCCGCTTCCCTTCCAGCTCCCTGCCTGTGGCCTGGGAAAGCAGTCGAGGACGGCCCAAAGCTTTGGGAACCTGCACCCGCGTGGGAGACCCGGAAGAGGCTCCTGGCTTCGGATCGGCATAGTATCGGCCCGTTGCGCTCACTTGGGGAGTGAATCATCGGACGGAAGCTCTTCCTCTCTGTATATCCGCCTTTCCAATGAAAAAATAATAAAAATAAATCTTTAAAAAAAAAAAAAAAAAGCCTAGTCATCAGGTAGTGGGGACGTGAAAATATCTCTGGAACTGCCATGTGGTTCAGTTTTCTTTGATGACCTTTTACGGCTAATGTACTTGTTCACTTTGCAGTACTTTAACTAAAACACCTGAGAGGAGATTCTTGGGAAATAAAAGGTTTGTTTCAGCTCAGAGTAGGGAGGCTACAGTTCAGGATCGGGTGACCTGGTGTCTCTGGAAGGTGACCATACTGGGCATGGGGAAATGATCACACAGTAAACCAGGAAACAGAGAGAGAAGTAGCAAAACTTGAACCTTCGCCATGGTGCAAAGCCCTCTCACCAGTCCCACCCATCAGAAACCAAATTTCCACCCTTAACTTACCAACCTAACCTAACATGGAGATAGTGGAGTTTAAACATCTGCACCGATTTTAGGGAGACAAGATCTGCTTAGCCCTTATTTTAGCCGGTCCTAAAATGCAAATGAAAAGAGTGCATTTCAATGTTCAGATTGCAGAAGGAATGGCTTATATCGAACGGAAGAACTACATTCACAGGGATCTGCGAGCAGCTAATGTCCTGGTCTCCGAGTCACTCATGTGCAAGATTGCAGATTTTGGCCTTGCCAGAGTAATTGAAGATAACGAGTACACAGCAAGGGAAGGTATGTTTCAGTCACCCTGTTCAGGTGTTTTCTTTCTGTTTCATTCTCCCTGTTTCTCGTAAAAGCAATCCCAAGTCATCGCATGTGTGTATATTTGGGATGACATTCAACTTGCACCATTATTGTCTATTTGTGGTCATGTTCTCATGATTGTTTTTAAAGAAATGATCTCTTGATTAACTTTTGGCATTTTTCTAAGGTTTACCAATTTGGATTTCAATTTTCATTTGCATTTCAATTAAGCAAAGCAAAGCAAACATAGATTTGGACAAGGTCAAGATTCTTGATTCTGTTTTCATCATACCATGAAAGCTTTTCAAGGAAATACTTTCTCAGTGAGGGAGAAAATATTTGTAACATCAATTTTGCGTTCTATATCTTACCTTTTAATTCCAAAATATAGCATGGACATTGTCAGGATGACCTAGCAGTCTAAAGCACTGCGTTCAGGACATCAATCACACACATGGAGAACCCAATATAATGCAATAAAAACATTCCCTTTCCACAGTCCCCCATTCCATATTATATTTGCGAACCAGAAGTGCTGAGGGTATTGCCTCCAATGGCATGCCATCTGATGACCTGCAACACAGGGGCTGCCCCAGCCTTGCCCATGGTGGAATCGTCCAGGGGCTCCTGACTTGGGAATTCCCACAGCCTTGATGAGCAGGCTCAGCACGTGTTTTCCATAGTGCCCACTCTCTTCCAAACCACAGCCAGGCACTTGTACTTTTCCTCCACGATACATTTCTCTTTGCAGTCACCCTTCAGGACAGATACTCGTGTCATTATTGCTGCCACCATACAGATAAGTAAAGGAGAAATTCAAGCAGCTTTCCAGGGCTCCTCAATAAATGATAGAGTCAAGACTCAACTCGAGGAGATGAGGCCTCAGAGGATATGAGCTGGAATTGATTCCTGGAGTCTGGTTCCATTTAACAAGCCTAGGGCCTCCCAGAAAGAACTGCTATACAAACAAGTGTGACTTACTGCAGAGAGGTCAGTTTCCAGAACAGTCCATCACTTTTGGCATACGTTTGGACCACAACAATAATACAGACCTTTGTGTCAAGCACATTAAATCAACCCACTTAAGCCTTCCCGGCTACCTGTTTAGCTGGTTGGAGTGCTTGCCCAGTTTGCTGATGGCAAAGGCAGTAAGTGGCTTGCCAGGATCACACTAAATGGGAAGAAGCACATCCAAGATTCAGACCCAAGCTGCGTGGTGCCACAGCCAAGCTCCCCACCGCCATACAGTTCTATGTGCTGCTCCTGGCAGGCATGTGTGGCAGTGCCCAGGACAGAACAGCCTTTCCACAAGGCTTTCTCTTTTCCCTTCTTTTTGTTTTTTTTAACTAATTTTTATTTATGTAATCATTTTAGTAATTAAATAAGTTAAGTGGATTAAGCTAAACAGACTAGTTAAGAGACATAGAGTGATATTTTCCATCTGTTGGTTCACTCTCCAAGTGTCTGCATCAGCCAAAGCCAAAGCCAGAACCTCAGTCCAAGTCTCCCACATAAATCAAAGGAACCCAAGCACCTAAATCATCATTTTCTGCTTCCCAGATCAGGAAGAAGCTAGTATCTGGGGCACAGCCTGGGTTCACATCCCAGGCACCATGACATGGGCTGCAGGTATCCCAAGCTGTGCCAATGCCCATTCCTGATCCTTTCTGTTCTTATTTAGATCTCCTTTTTTTGAGAGGCAAAGAAACTCTCCAAATAACTGCCATGGCTTAGGTTGAGTTGGACTGAAATCAGGAAGCAGGAACTCATGTGGGTGTCAAGAACCCAACAGCATCAGCCATCTTCTGCTGCCTCCCGGAGTGCTCTGTGGCAGAACACAAGAATCAGGAGCAAAGCAAGGACTTGAGCCCCGGTCCTCCAAGATAGGAGGTGAACATCTTAATCAGTAGACTCCACATCCACTCCCAGATCACCTATTTTGTTCAAGTTGCACAACATTTTCTCAAGTAGAAACAGAAAAAAAAAATTCTGCAAAAACTGAGAGTAGCATTCTACTTGAGTTTTTTATTTCCTCAAGAAGCCACACCTGCCAGCCCAGTCACTCAGCCTGCCCAGCAACTGGTAGGAGAAGTCTGCATCACCATGTCATCCTAAGCAGGCCATCCTCAACATTCCTAAAAGTGAGATACTGTTTTTTCCTTTCAGACGGAAAAATTAGACATTCAAGTTTGCAGTAGCTTCCAAAATTCTTATTGGTTCAGGCTCAAAGACACTTATTCACAAAAGCATACACAAGAAAATATGCTTGGGCCCGGTGCGATAGCGTAGTTGTTAAAGTCCTCACCTTGAACGTGCCAGGATCCCATATGGGTGCCGGTTCTAATCCCAACAGCCCTGCTTTCCATCCAGCTCCCTGCTTGTGGCCTGGGAAAGTAGTCAAGGATGGCCCAAGACTTTGGGACCCTGCACCTGCGTGGGAGACCTGGAGGAAGTTCCTGGCTCCTAGCTTCAGATCAGCATAGCACCAGCCATTGCGCTCACTTGGGGAGTGAACCATCGGACAGAAGACCTTCCTCTGTGTCTCTCCTCCTCTCTGTATATCTGCCTTTCCAATAAAAATAAATAAATCTTTTTAAAAAAAAAAAAAGAAAATATTCTTATATCCCATATACCCATATAATAGCTTCATTCAGAAAATTTTAACACAGAAAATAAATGTTAGAGGTTGGTGTTGGGGGCAAGTGACAAGCTAAAAATAACTTCCTTTACATTGTGTATTATGTCCTTTGATGTTGAGGTTGGCTAGTTATAATAGGCCCAGTTGGATATATAACAAATTGCTAATACGGGGAATAATCCAAAGGGAGACAGGATAGAAGTGAATTTTTTGGTATAGTACTGTGTATTCCTTCCCATTTTGTATTACAGTATGTGTTCCTTACACAAAATAAATTGAAAAAGTATGAGGGTCCCACATCCATGACACTTGTGCTCAGAGTTTCATGTCGTCTTCCGTAGGTGCTAAGTTCCCTATTAAATGGACGGCTCCAGAAGCAATCAACTACGGATGTTTCACAATTAAGTCTGATGTCTGGTCCTTCGGAATTCTCCTGTATGAAATCGTCACCTACGGGAAAATCCCCTACCCAGGTACCATTGGCTTACTACTTTCCATTCCGTTGAGAAAAGAAGTCAGAGTTGCAGGAAGGTTTATCTTCATCTGCCCAAAAACCAGAGCTACATCTTTACTGTCTTTTGTGGAAATTGTTGTAAACTATACTTAGATCTTTGCCCCACCACGGCACTGCACCTGGCAGAGGAGGAAATGGGCGTGGGCATCTTGGTTGGTTTCTGTCATGAGTGCTGTGAAGCCCCTGCCTCTTCAGGTCCTGCCTCTCTAGGACGTACTGATGCCATTGGGACCGTAATTTACTAATCCTAGATTCCTGACACCAGAAGTTGGCGGGCATGGTTGTGGCCCTCCCCTCCCCACTTTCTCCAGGGTCTGACACACAGCTGAGAAGAGAGATCTTTCCCACTCCTTCAGCTTCTCATGGAAGTCTGGCTTTTAGCAAAAATCTGTACGCATAAGATAAATTTAATGTTGAATCTTTGATGTTTATATCATTCCTTCTTTCAAATATTATCCAAGAGTAAGTACCACATCCTCTTCAGGCACTAGAGCTATGATGGCACCTGCTCCTGACCCCCACAGCTGACATTCTAAATGGGAGAGGCTTGGTCTGTGGGGGCAGGGGTACTGTGCACTGTGTGAAGGGGTGAGAGAGCTGCTTGCTTTAACCCTGCACCCAGCTGTAGGACTCAGAGACCTAAGGGAGGGAGCCCTGGAGCTTTCAGGGAAGCATCTAGTCAGGGACTGAGCCAGCAGCAGCAGGAGCAAACATGGCATAGCCCAGCCACTGTTTGATAAATGAATGGGTGGTTCACCATCACCATTTACTTTCCATAGAATCCCCGTGCAATGGATGGTAGCGTGGAAGCCAAGAATCATGGCCACAACCTTGGAGCTGCAGCTACAGTAGCTCAGCGGGAGCACTGGTGGCCACATAAAAGCCTCCAGCTCATTCTGTGTGAGACAGAAGCCAAGAAAGGCTTTGGGACAGAGCAGACACAATATAACCTCTGGTACCCCATCACTCCCTCTCTGTAGGGACAAGGAGTAGGAGGCCTTGAAGAGGTATCCAGGCCATAGGCTAAAGTTTGTCTGGTGCCAACATTTCATATTCACCTTGCCCTATGAAGCTAATACATTTATGCTTGTGGAAAGAGGAAGAATACTTTAGAAATATGTAATTATTTTGTTTGAAAGGCAGAGTGATGGAGGGAGGAGGAAGAGAGAAATGTTCCATTTGCTGATTTACTTCCTCAATGGCTGTAATAGCTGGGGCTGGGCCAGACTGAAAACAGGAGCCTGGAACTCCATCGAGGCCTCTACCTGAGTGGCAGAGGACCAAGGACTTGGCCCATCTTCCACTTCTTTCCCAAGTGCATTCACAGGAAATTGGATTGGGAGCAGAGCTTCTGGCACCCAAAACAACACCATGTGGGATGCTGGCATCCCAGATTCCAGCTTAGCTTGCTATGCCACAACACAGGTCCCAAGAGGAATATTCTGATCAGCCCTAGTGTTTGATGTTCAATGTCTGTGCCTTCATCTTTGCCTACATCTGCAGAGAGAGGAGTTATGTACTCGGAGTATGTGCGCAGTGCCATACCTGATAGAATAAACACATAACCTCATACAATGACACCATCATATGTGTGTGCAACACAAAGAAAGTTAGCCTGGACCTCTGAGTCTCAAAAGAGACAGCTGAGCCCCTCACTGATGGCAGAACTGTTTCTGAACCCACACCCCATGCCTCCCAAGACCTCCCTTCATTCTCTGTGCTCAATGCCTGGGATTTGCAAATAACTTTGCTGAAAAAGTATTTAACACAAATAAAAACAAAACAAACAAACAAAAAACAGGATAATATGGTGAGAATCACACCCACTCACAAATACACAACAACACTTTGGTACTTTGAGAAGTTCACAGGGAAAATGGTTTTAAGGGCCAACATGGTGACATAATAGATTAAGCCAAAACCTGTAATGCCAACATTACCAAATGGGCTCTAGTTCATGTCCTAGCAGCTCTGCTTCTGATCCGGCTCCCTGATAATGCACCTGGGAAAGCAGCAGAAGATGGCCCAAGTGGCCATGCATCCATGTGGGAAACCTGGAAGAAGATCCAGGCTCCTGGATTCACTGTGATCAAATTCCAGTAGTTGCAGCCATTCGAACAAATGAACCACTCTCCTTACCTCTCTCTCTAACTCTGCCTTTCAAACAAATTAAATACATCTTTTAAAAGTGTAAGTAAAACAAGTTCATTTTGGTGCGAAAGTTTTTTGAATATATGCAAAGGGTATTCAGAACATTCCTGAAAAATGTGTATTATGAAAAGGCTGTGCATGGATTCCAACATTTTTTTGCACCAAAATAAAATGATTTTTTTCTAACTTTCATCTTTTAGTTATTTATTTTCATTTTATTTGAAAGGCAGAGACAAGGAGAGAGAAACAGGCAGAGAGAGACATATTCCATTTGCTGGTTCACTCTCCAAATGCCTGCAAGAGCTGGAGTTGGCCCAGGCCAATGCCAGCAGCTCTAACCAGGTCCCCCATGAGGATAGCAGGGGCTCAAAGAGCTGGACTATTTTCAGCAGCCTTCCTAGGCTCCTTAGCCAGAGGCTGGGTCAGAAGTGGAGCAGCCAGAGCTTGAACCAGCTCATATGGAATGTTAGTCCTGCAAACACCATAATGCCAGCCCCTCTGCACAAAGTTTTAAAACAGTCTTTATAGGGACTGGCAACGTGGCGTAGCAGCTAAAGTCCTCACCTTGAACGCGCCAGGATCCCATATGGGTGCCGGTTCTAATACCAGCAGCTCCACTTCCCATCCAGCTCCCTGCTTGTGGCCTGGGAAAGCAGTCGAGGACGGCCCTAGGCTTTGGGACACTGCGCCCGTGTGGGAGAACCGGAGGAGGTTCCTGGATTCTGGCTTCAGATCGGCATGGCATCAGCCGTTGCACTCACTTGGGAAGTGAATCATTGGATGGAGGATCTTCCTCTGTGTCTCTCCTCCTCTCAGTATATCTGACTTTCCAATAAATAAATCTTAAAAAAAAAAAACAGTCTTTATAGTCGAGTTGGTGGGAAAACATGGACTGGTCCACTCCTCAGTGTGTCCTTTGTAAGGCTTGAGGATGGTGGATGCTTTTAGAGATCTGAACGTGCAGGTTTCCAGTCACAAGAGCTATTTGCCATGAGAGCCTCCAGTGTTGTTATGACTGGAATCAAGAAGTCCTATTAGATATCCAAGGGCTTAATTTACAGATAGCATGAACACGGTGGAGAAATCATATGCTCAGCTTTGCAAAAATAAAGCAAAGAAAGAAAAATAAATAGAGCTACATATAAGCTAAAGACCTATTTTTAGAGGAAAAAGACTAAAAGAATGAAAAAATACTGATGTTGTGACGTATCAGGTTAAGCTGCTGCTGGCAATGTTAGCAGCCAACCCCAGGTTTGAGTCAAGGCTACTCTTTCCAATCCAGTTCCCTGGTGATGTTCCTGGGAAGCAATGGAAGATGATTGAAGTATTTGGGGCCCTGCCACTCACTTTGGAGACCCACATGGAGTTCTGGGTTCCTGGTTTCAGACCAGACCAACCCCAGCCATTGGCCATTTGGGAAGTGAACCAGCAATCAGAAAATGTCTCTCTTCCTACCTTGACTTTTTCCCTTCCCTTATGTGTCACTCTGCATGTCAAATAAATGGATATATTTTTAAAACCACCATTACAAACAACTCTCAAGAGATACAGATGGTAATAGAATTTGCTCGGGTCTTTCCATTTCCAAATCAAAGGTCCTTCCATGACAAATAAGCATGTCCTTTTTTTTTTTTTGGACATATTGCTAGTGTCCTAAGCTTTGTCTATCTCAAATGGATGATGATGACCCACAATTTGGCAAACACAGGATAAAGAATAAATTTTCAGATGGTTCTGTTGTAAATCCAGTAAAAGTTATTTTCCTTAAAGCAATCTTGTAGAATATTTCCAGTGACCACATGGTAAAATATATAGCTCCAGAGAGGAAGTTGGTTATGATGAATGGCATCTTTGCCTCTGCCAGGTAGCATATAGATTCTGCATGAAACACTAGCCCTCTGCAGAACACCTCACATTCCTGCAAATGGACTAACCACAAAATATGCAAGACATCCGGATGGTGGTGGGTGGGTGCTGCTAAAACTGCTAGCCGAGCACATCCCTATCCGGTTTTAATATTGAAGGAATCTATTGTTAAAACAATCATTTCTTCCTTCAGTGTTTCCTTAAATATCAGAAACTGCCAGGTCAGTTTCCCTACTCCTCTGGGACACACTGCCGTCCTGCAGCCTTTTCCATCAGTGCCCTTCAAAGCTCGGGAGGAGTAAGGGAACCTGAGCAGCCTCGCCTCGCCTCACCAGTGTTGGGAATCTGAAAGTTGCAGACTCACTCTGAGCTTTGCTCTGTCTAGGTCCTGGAGACCAGGAGAGCTCAGGGAGTGTGTGAAGGAGCTTGCTTGGAAGCTGAGACTTGCGAGTGTCTTGCTCTCAGAAATCAGTGGGTCCCACACATGGCAAGTTAGGCCAGGTGATCCAAAGCATCCTTTGTTTTCCCTATTAATCCTGAGTTTTCGACTATTTGTCAACCACATGAGGAACTGATTGATGATGATGATTTAGGCATGCTGACTTTAGATAAATAATGAAAAGCCTATCCTATCAGATAAAATGTGTGAAATAATTATTTGAAAATACAGTACAGAAAGATGCTAAAAAAAAATCACACCCTCCAAAATAACTTGAGATTAAAGGTTAGGATTGAATTGGAATGGTGCTCCCTGCTAAGGTGGCCTGGAAAACAGAGGAAGATGACCCTAAGTGCTTGGGCTCCTGCTACCCATGAGACCTAGATGAAGCTCCAGGGCCCTGGTTTTAACCTGACCCAGCCTTTTAGGTCATTTAGGTAGTAAACCAGAGAATGGAAAATCTTTCTCTGTCTTTGTCTATCTCTCACTGTAACACTGTATCTGTTAAAATAAATAAATAAAAAGAAATTGCCATGGCTTCTCCTTATCACTTGCCCATTTGTCGTTTGGTGAATTGAATGCCGTTTTGTTTCCCCTTTGAATTAAAACCTAGTTGTTGAATTACTTACAGCAATTTCCTCAGCCTCTGTGTTCTTTTCCCGGGGCTTCCATACCAAAGAACAGAGCTGGAATTGTTTAATCATCTGACATTTGCTACGTCACAGTTCTGGCATCTGGCATCCAGGTGTGTTGGCAGGTTTCTTGGTGGCCTGTCCCCAGGTTGACAGCCTGTGCCATTGCATCGTTGCCTTCCTGTGTGTGCCTGTCTTCCTATCACTTTTTCTAGTAATATTGAATTTGGATCCCCCCACCAGTCTCATTTTAACATAATTGCATCATTAAAGAGCAATTTCCAAATTCTTTGAAAAAAGTTTTTTAATTGGGAAGGCAGGCCAGATTTATAGAAAGAAGGCGAGCAGAGGGAAAGATCCCCTAACAATCCCCAAATGGCCACAATGACCGGAACTGAGCCCATCCAAAGCCAGGAGCCAGGAGCATCTTCTGGGTCCTTTGCAGATGCAGGATCCCAAGGGTTTGGGCCATCCTCTACTGCTTTCTCAGGCCATAAGCAGGGAGCTGGATGAGAAGTGGAGCGGCCAGGACATGAACCGGTACCCATAGAAGATCCTAGTACTTGCAAGGTGAGGAGTTAACCATTGAGCCATTGTGCAGAGCCACCAATCTCTAAATTCTTAGAACCTGTGGGCTAGTATTTCAAATTGCGAATTTAGAGAGGGTCAGTGGAACCCACTTCAGCCTCAGTAACACCTGCTGCAGCCAAGGGTCATAGGCTGGGAGTAGCAACACGACCTCTTACAGAGCTTGAGCTTCACCAGATTCCTAATGACATGGCTTTGTTTTCCCAATTTCAGGAAGAACTAATGCTGACGTGATGAGTGCCTTGTCTCAGGGCTACCGGATGCCCCGCATGGAGAACTGCCCAGATGAACTCTATGACATCATGAAAATGTGCTGGAAAGAAAAGGCGGAGGAGAGACCCACATTTGACTACTTACAGAGCGTGCTGGATGACTTCTACACTGCCACAGAAGGGCAGTACCAGCAGCAGCCGTAGAGATGTATCATCCCGTGGGGGCCACTGCCCATACTCCGAGAAGGGGCCATCCCGGGCTGCACCAGCCACCTCCTACATGGGACCCAGCTCCCGGAAGCCAAGGTTTCATCTCTCAGGAAGAGCCTCAGAGACAGATGCCCACTAGGGTATCAGATAACTCTCACCTGGTCATCTTGCTCTGCGTGATTGGCATCCGGATATTGCCTCATAAGAGACAACACCTGGTCTCTCCCCCAAATGCTTCCAGGCTGGCCCTAACTGTACAACTGGATGTGTGACTCAAAAGGCTCAGAGACCATGGTCACAAACCCTCATTAAGACAAGACTACACTTACTTACAAGGCAAAGATAACCAGATGTGTAACATGAACTTTCTTTGCATTTTCTTCTATATTTTACCTTCCTCATTTAAAAAAAAAATTACTAATCTAACCAGTTAGATTTTGCAAGTGAAGTCAGTTGTTGAAATGTCTTTCTCAAATCACTTTTTTCCTTATCATTTCATATCTGACGAGAACATTTCTCTTTGTGGACACTGCTCATGTGTGCTGCGCACGCAGCTGCTTCCCTACGTCTGTGATGCAGAGGCCCCTGCAGCACAGAGCCCCGCCAAACCTCCCAAGAAAGGAAGAAGAGCCACAGAACCTGCTCAGCCTGAACAAGGAGCATCTGTGATGGTCCAGCCTTTTCAGTCTCAGCGTTTCCTATGACAGCATAACATGGAACAACAGTTACGATTCGAAGCACTGCAGAGCCTGCTCAGGCCTTCTAAGGCATAAGCATTTTTGCTTTGTTGCTTTCACGTGATTTGAACATTATTTTAAGGATCAGGTGTTAATTTTAGTTATACTCTAGGAGGTAAGAATGCCACCTTTGAGGCTATTTTGTGATTCAGCGCTCTTTTCTAGCTTGTGCGAGATGTGTATGAGACTATTTATAACCAAGGATGTGAAGGAAAGGAAGTGGCTGTGGAGGCTCCCGTGAGCCACGAAGGTGATTAGTTCAACAAATTTTGTTTACTCAATTTTTCTACTGTAAGCTTTGAATGGAAATTGCTGTATCACTCATATTTTACTTAACCTGTTGTATATATACCTAATATTTCTATTTTTTTGATTTTTAATACACCTAGCCTAATAACATTTCAGTTGTATGACTTGTGTCTAACTGAATTTTCGATTGGGGTGAACGAGAAGGTGAGTTCTAGGTGAGGGTGGGGTTAAGAGGCAGCTGCCTGGTTTGCCCTGTGTGAGTTTTGTCTCCATCCTTTGAGCATTTCAGATTGGAGCTGAATATTCAGACATCAGTCAAATCTCATTGTGTGTATGCTGTGTAGGTTTCAGTTGCCTAGAAGAGAAAAACTAGTTTACTTCTCACTAACCGTAACTTCTTCTCCTGTGTGACTTTGGGAAATTTTCTCAAATTCTTGGTTCATAAATAGAATATCATCACTACATAATGTCAGCACAGCTGGTACCTGGCACACAGTGGCACATGCACCTCCCTGTTCACACTTGTTTCAGAACCACACGTGTTAGTACGTACTACATGGAGAGAACATGTAAAACATCTCTACAGCAGAAAGACATCTTGGAAAACTACCAGATCTGTCCTCATTTTTGTTTTCTACCCTCTGCCTTTCAATCAAGCATATGACCCTTTCTTCCAGGTCCCCTTTGTGCCATGCCTCAGACACCGGTGCTCTTGTCCCAAGAGTATGTAAAAGGGCAATAAAAGAAGGGGCTCTCTTTTTTGTCTTACATAGTGGGTAGATCAAAAACGCAGGAAAAATTACAATCATAAACTCGTTTCTAATTCTGACTGTGCTGCCTGCTTCCCCTTACTCTCACAAACCAGGTCCAGGCTGTTCTCTGGTAGGAAACAACAACTTCTGGTGCACTCAACTGAAATAAAAGGAATGCTCATCCTTTGGCTCATTGCTTCAGTTCTCCTAACCGCCAGGTTGTGTGGCCTGTTCATGAGTGTCTCCTGCTGCCAAGTGCCTCTCGCAGGTGAACTCACATCTCCACCTTTCCTCTTGCATCTTGCCTTTGCTGGCTGCTTCTGGACGGGAGCCTGCACTCCTCTGTCTCCTACGTCTTGACTACATGAAGTTTTTACATAGACCCAAGTTGAGTAAGGTTTGCTCTTCTGCCGGAAGGAAATGTTGATTATAGATGCATGAGGATACGTATGCCAGCCTTTGCTCAGAGCTCCCGTTTTATACAAACCATATCTAACTCACATGGCAACCCTGGAAGAGCTGGACACACTATCTGTATCTCACAGCTGAGCGAGATCAGGTGCATCTGGCACCATGGGAGGAATCAAACGGCTTGGCTTCACGTTCCTGTGAAATAAGACCAACAGAATACCTTTTTATACTCCTTAACTGTTGGGTGTTCTGAGTAAGCAAGGGGATACTACCTTTGAAATACTCCACCAGAGTCCACACAGATGCGAGAGGAAGCCTCTCCTGACCAAGCTTTTTTGTGGTTCAAAAACAACGCAAGAGTTCGACTTTCCCTTCATAGTTTGAGAATATTTATAGAAATAGAATAAAATGTTTTGATAATATTTATGTTCCGCTTTGTAACATGAAGATATACAAAGATCAGCATAATTTTATTCCAGAAAGTTCTAATTTCGTATGTATGTAAGAGGATAGCTGTTCAATTTTACTTTCTTTGCATTTATGAGTCAATGAAATACTTCAAGTGGAAATACATCACAAAGATCCCAGACAGCCATGGCGTGACCTTGAGTATTTCTCTTCAAAGTAGAAATGATGCAGAAATCTTAGCAACTTAGAGCTCTAGGTTGTTGGAAAGATGTTAGAAATATTCTGCTTGACGAGCATGCAAAGGTAACACAGAACTAATAGAAGCAAGTGTCCTCATATTCAGCCCCCAAAGTAGGAGCTGTATCATAGGAATACAACACAGTTTGTGTATTTTATTATTAGCTTTTTGCTGGATTTGAGCAAAAGATACCTAATCCCTTATCTGCTTCCCTTTACATCAAATGTGTGAGATTTTGTTAAGATTAATACAATGAGGACCTGATGCCATAGCCTAGCTACTAAAGGTCTCACCTTACACACACCAGGACCCCATGTGGGCGCAGATTCTAAGCCTGGCAGCTCTGCTTGTGGCCTGTGAGAGTAGTAGAGAATAGCCCAAAGCCTTGGGATCCTGTACCCATGTGGAAGACCTAGGGGAGGCTCTGGGTTCCTGGCTTCAGATTGGTACAGTTCCAGCTGTTGTGGCCACTTGGGGAGCGAACCAAAGGATGGAAGATCTTCCTCTCTGTCTCTCCTCCTCTCTGTATATCTGACTTCCCAATAAAAATAAATAAATCTCTAAAAAAACAGATTAATACAATGAAATGAACAAATAATGGGTGGTTTTCCTCAGTGAACACCAAAGAAGAAACTTCTAATTAATTAACAACATTTCTGCATCAAAATGCCACACCAGTTGGCTGCATGCAATCTCTAAATGGATTCAGGTTGGTTTTGGTAATGAATTGAGGGGAGGGGTTATTTCATTTCATTTTTAATGTTGTTCACATAGTTGAGAAAGATGGATGCCCATGTGGGGCACTGGTTAGGCTGGAGAAGGTAGAGGTATGGAGGAAGGAGCATGGCACATGTGTTTCCAATCTTTTTCTCCTGCATTGGGTGTGTTCCACTGCACAGGCTTCAGCAGCTGTGGAGGGCCAGTCCCAACCCTTGCCAGTGGCTTTCATCTAGCCTAACCCATATCTCCCACATGAGCAGGTACACAGGTCTGATTCAGACATTCCCTCCAATTTCCCCTCTCCGAATCACCCTGTCTCTACTCCCTCATTTACCTGTGAGTGACCCAATTCATGGATGCCCCAGGGGTCATTCCATGCATGTTAAGTACTTCCTCAGCAGCCACACTCCCACATTTCTCCAAACCCCTTTTTCCTGGACAATCCACAGCCACCTCACCAGCATGGGCCCTGGGTTGTCGTCATGCAGTGGAAAAGGATAGACAATTATATTGGCGTAATGGTATAGTTAACACAAATTTGGCATTAACCAGGCCCAGAATGCCTAGCAGATATTGGCTGTGTTTCTCCCAGCAGTGTGACACTTGCCTAGGTGGAAAGCAACCTAGACAGTTGCCTGCAGCTGGAGGACCAATTGAGTTCAAGCAGCATTTAAATATATATATGGGCGTCAGTTCTGATCCAGATGGTCCCACTTCCCATCCAGCTCCCTGCTTGTGGCCTGGGAAAGCAGTTGAGGACAGCCCAAGCCTTTGGGATCCTGCATCTACATGGGAGACCCAGAGGAGGTTCCTGGCCCTTGGCTTCTAATCTGCTCAGCTCCAGCTATTGCAGACACTTGGGAAGTGAATCAACAGATGGAAAATCTTCCTCTCTGTCGCTGCTCCTCTCTGTATATCTGACTTTGCAATAAAAATAGATAAATCCTTTAAAAAATAAAGATGTATCTATCTATATATTTAAAAGTCAAAGTAGGGAGTTGGGGAGAATTGATCTTCCATATGCTACTTCATTCCCGAAATGGATGCAATGGCTGAGACAGAACCAGGTGAAAGTCAGACTCCAGGATCTTCTTGGTCTCCCAGGAGAGTGGCAGGGGCACTTGCACTTGATCCATTTCTATTGACTTCTGAGGCACAGGCACATTAGCATGGAGCTGAATCAGAAGTGGAGAAGCTAAGACTTGAACCAGCTGCTTGTCTTGCTGTACCACAACACTGACCCCTAAAACACCTTTTGGTTCTCAGGTTGGGAGTTCACAAATGCGGTTAAAGGCTTATAAACCTGTGCCATGGTGGCTTGAAGAATGTGCCAGAGTTGTCTATATCAAATGGCGTTTCCTGTTCCAAAGGGGCACACTCATTGGGTGTGCTCCAAACCCTTTCTATGTAGCCATGCTCAAAGATGCAAATTGTTGGAGCTGGTATGTTGGCTCAGCAAGCTGATTCTCTGCCCTGTGGTGCTGGCAACACACATGGGCATTAGTTTGTGTCCTGGCTGCTCCACTTCCCATTAAGCTCCCTGCTTATGGTCTAGGAAAGCAGCAGAGGATGGTCCTCGGCATACTGAACCCTCATGAGAGACCTGGAAGAGACTCCTGGCTCCTAGCTTCAGTCAGCTCTGCTCCAACCATAGCAGCCATTTGGGAAGTGGCTTTCCTCTGTCTCTCCTGCTCTTTATGCAAAATCTGCCTTTCAAATAAAAATGAATATTTCTAAAAAAAAAAAAAAACAACCCTGAAAGCTGTTTCTCTTTCTCCTTGAAGCAGCACAACAACAGGTGAGAGAATCTCTGATCAGATGCCACCTTGGAAGGGTCTGATGTAGAGTAAGTGGGTGAACATCTGGTGGTTTCAGTTGACCACTTGCGATGGGTGAGAGCCATAACAGTTACAGCATGAAGTGCTGGGGAGCTTGACAAATCTCCCCATGCATGGAGAGGTGCTGCTTTATTACAGGGAATTCAGCACTCACAGGGGCGCCCCATCTGGCTCTCACACTTGATGGCAGGTGTTCTTATCTTCAGTGCCTTGAATGGCCACTTTAAGCCCAAAAAGGACACAGAGTCTTCAGGAGTCACAGCACAGGTGTTCCTTGATCTGATGGAAAACAACTGAAATCAACTGAAAATCCTTGTTCTGTAAAATTATTATGTTTTAAAACCTGCTTGGTAAGCCTAGGTTTTTTCTTCCTTCTTTTTACATAAGTAATCTTTTTTTTAAAGTTCTTAAACTGTTTAAGTAGATTGACTGATTTGGAAGGTAAAGTGACAGAAAGGAGTGAAAAAAGAGAGAGAGAGAGATCCTACCTACTGGTTCACTTCCCATATGCCCTCAACGGCTGGGACTGGGCCTGGCTGAAGCCAGGAGCTCCATTCAGGTCTCCCACCTGCATGGCAAAGGCCCAAGTGCTTGGCATTTCAGCTGCTGCCTTGCAGGACACAGTATCAGAAGCTGAACTGAAAACAGAGTGACGGGGACACAAACCTACACTCCAGTATGAAATGCAGAGGTCCCAAGCAGCCATTCAACCAACTGTATCACAATGCCCACCTCAAGCCATTGAATTTTCCATCCGGGTCTCTGTGGACTGATTGCAGGGTT